CCTCAGCAAGGGCTTCCTAATCGCCTTGCCTGGGCTTGGCATCCATTGCTCCAGGCCCCCTTCTCTCTCTGTTTCCTCCCTCAGCTCACCCCTAAACCCCTTCTCTCTTCCTCAGGCTCAACAGACCGACAGCCATCCCTCAGGGGCTCCTTCGCAGTGTCCAGACCCTTCACCGTCTAGGCTTCCAGACCTTTCTTCCTCGGGACACGCTCCAGTTTCTCCACATCCTTTTTGAATTGTGGTGCCCAGAACTGGACACAGGATTATTCCAGGTGGGGCCTGACCAAAGCAGAATAGAGTGGCGCTATGACTTCTCTTGATCTAGACGCTATACTTCTACTGATGCAGCCTAAAATTGCATTGGCCTTTTTAGCTGCTGCATCACTCTGTTGACTCATGTTCAGCTTGTGGTCCACTAGGACTCCTAGATCCCTTCCACACATATAAATCTTATTAGCACAGGTGTGCCCCATCCTATATCTATGCATTTCATTTTTTATTTTTATTTTTTTTTTGCCCTAAGTGCAGTACCTTACATTTCTCCTTGTTGAAATTCATTTTGTTAACTTTGGCCCAGATTTCTAATCTATTAAGGTTATTATGGCTATAGATCCTGTCCTCTGGGGTATTAGTTCCTCCTCCTAATTTGGTGTCATCTGCAAATGTGATAAGCATCTCCTCTATTCTATCATCCGAGTCACTCAGACCTGCACAACTTGACCGTAGGAAGGGGACAAAATTAAAATAGACTAAGGAGCAGTACAGAAGGACCCTAATGGACAGCTCTTCTGCTCCCCATTGGTGCAGCATGTGTACACACTGCGCCAATGGACACCCTGACCCCGCGCACTGTGAGGTGGGGCGCACAGCGTTACAGTGGCGTCGGGGCAGAGTTGAGGCGGCCGGTGTGCGGTTGCCCTACCCCAACTCCACCCCCAGGCTGGCCCTTGTGGCCAGTCTGTACAGGCCCTGAGTTTCTTTGGGCCACAGATAGGTTTTAATTAAATATTAATTACTTAGGCCAGGGGTAGGCAACCTTTCCCCTTTAAGGGCCGAGGGACTTCAGCTCCCAGAAGCCTCAGCCATGTTGGCCAATAGCTCCTGGGATTCTGGGAGCTGAAGTCCCTCGGCCCTTAAAGGGGAAAGGTTGCCTACCCCTGCCTTAGTTAATAATAATTAATAATTAATACTATTAATATTAATTCCATCCTCATCCTCCTTTGCCTGGCCAGGACAAAGCTGAGTGGCGGAGGAGCCTTGCCCATCCTTCTCCTCCTCCATCTGGACTTCTCCTCAGGAGAAGGCCGAGCCACAGAGGTGCCCCATGGGGCAAGCATTTGCCCCCTTCCTCCTCCACTGCCCTCAGGAGAAAGTTAGGCAGAGAAGGTGCCTTGTAGGGCAGGGGTAGGCAACCTTTCCCCTTTAAGGGCCGAGGGACTTCAGCTCCCAGAATCCCAGGAGCTATTGGCCAACATGGGACTATTGGCCAACATGGCTAAGGCTTCTGGGAGCTGAAGTCCCTCGGCCCTTAAAGGGGAAAAAAGGTTGCCTACCCCTGTTGTAGGGCGAGCATTTGCCCGTCCTCCTCCGACAACCAACCTTCTCCTCGGAAGAAAGCCCAACAGCAGAAAAGCTTTGTAGGGCAAGCATCCTCCCTTCTTCTTCCTCCTCCTCTTCATCCTCATGGCCTTCTCCTCAGGAGAAGGCTGAGCAGCAGGGGAGCCTTGAAGTTCTTCCACATCTTCGTGGGCCGGCCACAATCCTCTGGTGGGCCGCATGTGGCCCCCGGGCCATATGTTGTGCAGGCCTGAAGTCACTGACAAGCAGCAGGGGGACCTCTGCCATTCAGGCCAAAAGGGCCTCCCTCTCAACTCCCCAGCCAGCCATCTTGCTTTCTTAGCAGTCTGGGCCTCAGATCCTGAGCTCAGTGAGATTGAGGAAAAGTCTGGCTTGAAATTCCTCCGAACCACAATTTATA